TTAAACATAAATAATTGTGAAGTCTATTCTACTTGACTAGAATGAATAGAATCATGATACAAACATAATAATCAAATAATAATACTGGATACAAGTCAGAAGGAACAGTGGTGGAACAATTTTACCTTATATGAGTGTTTTTTCAACCAATGTTTTCAGCCTTACAATCATAGTCTTACCCATTGTTTGTAGTTTGAGGCATGTAAATAATTCAGTGATTAGCACAATTTTACTAAATGAATGGTGTCCTACTTTTCTGCACCATCTGGGCTACTGAAGACGGGCAACGCCATGCAGGGTACAATGAGGGAAATTTTGTCAGGACAGTGGCTTTAGTCTGCTCTCTGTCAATAGCACTGAGTATTCAAAACTACTAGAGGGTGACAGATGATTCAAATAAACCCACCTTTACTTCCATGCATCAAGATTTTGAGGATCTTAAACGAGGGTCATAAACCTTGCTGTGCAGCATTACCTAAAATACATGTTAAGGTCAAATTGTCATATTGGACAAAGAAACTATGATTCTAATAAAAATTATTATTATAACCAATAGGGGTTAACATATTTAAAGCCCATTTACAAGGTAAAGAAAGTTGTATCAACCATGGTTTATAAAGCAAAATTTGCCGTGTAAACAGTGCTGTAACACTGTATTAATACAGCTTCCAGGAGTAGTATATTTCACATGTTCTATTCTGTATAGCAAGCTGTATCCAACTTTTATATCTGACGAATGGGAGCACAAGTTTAAATCTTAAAAGGTCATTCTCAATTTTGGCGGGAATTTATGTAAACAAATTGGGAGTGATTCATGCAACTTTATATACTGTGTAAACTGACAAGGAATATATTATAAAAGTTGTATACAACCTGTTTTACTGTGTAGATGGGCCTTAGACGTCTGTGGCTCTAACTCTCCTTAGAATGTGATCTAGTGCTCAATTATATTACACAGCTTGGCAATCATTCCACTTTAAGACATGTATCATAACACAAGGGCAACAGTATGCTATCGCAAAACTGTGTAATAGACAAATTGTAACATTTTATCTTCAAAGTTTTAAGATTCAATCAGACGTCTGTTGTTCCTGAAATTCCACTAAAACTGTGTTTGATGACTACTATGTATAATTTTGAAAAATGAAGTACATATTTGGCCTGATTAGCATGCTTAGAATTCATTACAAAATAGTTTGAGGTTTTTCCTGGTCGTTTTACATTTTCTTTGGTAGTTTCCTTGTCGTTGCATGTTTTCTTCGGTCGTTGGTCAACTCAAGTTTTAGAAAGTAAGAAAGTTCTATACAGAATCATAGCACACAGATCATTTGCCTCTTTTCATTTTAGACAAGATTTTATCAATTTACAACTTTACAATAGCAACAACTCCCCACCTCTAAACACTCGAAATTTGTGAATGATACTGCTAAATAAATGAATATTTCAATCCTGTTGCCAAAAAAACTTATCACCACTGCTCTCTGTCTATAGCTTTTAAATAACTAGTAGAAATAATAGAGTAACCACTTTGACTAAATTGGGCATAAGATTATTACAAAAATATACCACAAAACAGTCAAATTGGTCGTGAATGTATCCAACCTGCATAGGATAGGACTCTGCTTGCAATCTAAAAGCTTTTAACCAGTTGAACCATGCCTTTTGAAATGAATGCAGCTTATAAGAACTGGTGAAGATCATCCAAAAACATAAACCATATTGAAAGAGGATAATCAGAACCTTCTCAAAACACAATCTGAACTCAGCCTGTGATTTTACTACTTTAAAAACTGCTGACAATGTTGTCAAAAAAGCATAAACCACAATGACGAAATTGGACAGGAAGTATAAATAACCTGCCACAAAATAGTCAAAGCGGTCTTTGCTCCACCATCTCTCATCCATTTCACCATCATACTGGTAGACTGGTACCTATAGAAACTGCACAAAGACCATATTGGGACTAACATTTGTATCAAATTGTGGCCAAAATCAACGTGTTGAAAAATACCTAGTAGGCTACTTGAATAGTAAAAAGCTAAAGTAGACCATCAATTTCAGATACAAATGTCATCACAATATCATTCCTGAAAGAAAATGAAAATGATAAAATTAGATAAAAGGAAAATAGAGATTAGTGGCCTGATAAACACAGATGAAATAAACTTACTTTGTTTACAATTTACAAAAAGGCATTACTTTGTTTCTCCTATAAAGTAAAACAAATATGTGATTATAATGAGTCCTTTCTAAAGATTTGGTTCTTAAATGGTACTTCATATAATGCCAATCAGGCATGGCTGTGTCGAAAAATGTGTCATACTCCCAGAAAGAGTGGCCCTGTTCTTCTATTTCCACTTATGTACAACAAACATGGTACCCCATCCAATGGAGCTGTGCGACAAATGTGCCTATGATTAGCAAAATATGGCATTTCTACAGATGCAGCATATGGCCTACAGATGTTGTCCCGAATTCAGCAACTGTGTCATGTTGTCATCAAATTTGAACCCTCTCAAGGTATGGACAAAATGAATAAGATATATTCCATTTCTAATATTTGCCATAGGACACATGACACCACCTTCGAGCATCATGCAGCAAAGTGGTCCCCTCAGCTCCCGACAATCCAATTTAGCAAATGGCAATACCCAATTTATCCCTACTGTGAAAGGCAGATCTCCTAAAATGAACACTTATGTGAAAAATTCAACAACTGTGGTTTATGCTTAACAAAAGTGACTATCCATCAAAAGCCAATCAGGCATGGCTGTGTCCAAAAATGTGTCATACTCCCAGAAAGAGTGGCACTGTATGTCTATTTCCACTTATGTACAACAAACATGGTAGCCCATCCAATGTAGCTGTGCAACAAATGTGCCTATGATTAGCAAAATATGGCATTTCTACAGATGCAGCATAATATGGCCTACAGAAGTTGTCCCGAATTCAGCAACCGTGTCATGTTGTCATCAAATTTGAACCCTCTCAAGGTATGGACAAAATGAATAATGTCAGATATAATCCATTTCTAATATTTGCCGTAGGACATATGACACCACCTTCGAGGATCATGCAGCAAAG